TCTCTGCGTTGAATACAGAGTGATCCGCACTCAAAATAGTGGGTGCGTCGACAGTTGATGTTGATGGTACACATGCGAGGAACAACCAAAAACTGGAAAAAAGCAAGGAACTCAATCGAGAAAGATCTAGCCTCTACGCTACATCCCATAGCTCCTCTAAAGCGCAACAAAACTTTGTACCAGAGGGTAAGTATTGGAGCACACAAAAATAGATAGTACATACCTTCCCGCACGCTACGCTAGCACTTAATGCGTATTGACTGACACCAATTTTCTCGTCGACATAGGCGTCGGCGAAATCGTCCTTACCGCGAGCCATAGCGCCTACGAATACAGCCAAGTTCTTGGCTGGCTTACGATCAGAACCTAGAAGGAGCTGTCAATGGATGTAAATCTTGCGTGTATTCGAAACAAACCTGCGGGTGGATCAAACAGGGTGGGAAGGTATGTTGAAAGTTTTTGAAGGGGGGCATCTCCAGAAAGTGCTATGTATTCAATTAAGCGGATAGCGCAAGTTAAATTGACAAGGACGAACTGATTTTGTAAGTGTCAGGGGGGAAATGGTCTACAACAGGATTCTGTCGATTTCGGTGACACATGAGAAAATCAGGAATCAGCCTCCATGAACAACGCAGGAATTATGACTCACTTTGACAACTTTTAGTAGCTTTTCAGAACCTTGGACACCCCTGATGGATAATTTATGCAGAAGTTGAACTATTTCTGATTAGTATGGCATCTGCGAGAATCAGATCGATCAGCTTACCCATCAAGCCGCTGAACCGCTTGAATGTTCTCGGAATCCTCACATGAGGATTGACCTCGATGAGAACACCCTTAGCTGTGTGGATGTAGACTTGAAGTAGGCCAGCCTTGTTGAGCGGTGAATCAAGAAGGGTTAGGAGACACTGTAGAATAATGAATAAGTGAAATAGAATGCTGGGAATGGTTGAAAAACAGACTTGATGAGTGATATCGGGCCTAGCATCAGCGATGTCCCGACCGGTCTTGGCCAAAATGCCTTGATGGTCATCGCAGTTCAAGAGGGTGTACTTGACTTCACCTTCCTTGCCTTTTTTGCCGTTGGATTTCGAGCTTGATGAGATACGATACGCTTCGAGGCAAGCTTGTTCAAGAACGACGAAAAGCCGCCTGGGTACCGATGAAGAGGTGATACCTGCACCATTGGCAGCGGGGCCTCGAGGAACATGAGCCGTGGCAGGAAGGAGATGAGGGTTGGAGAGATTGGGAAGATTAGGATTGACTGTGATACTGAATGCCTGAGCTCGAGGGTTGAGTGATTTGGTGGGAAGCGGTTTGGTGGGCCGGTCCATCGTGGTCGTTGTTAAAAGAGTGTTTTGGTCGGCGTTTATAGCTTCTTCTTCTTGAACCGTCATCTCTATGTCCTCGTATTCACTTCCACTGCCACTCGGACTTCTCTGTCTCCTTCTTAGTGCTGGCCTCTCTCCAGGCGTAGATTTTGGCCTTGGAGGCGGGTCGACCCTGCCGCTACTGTTTGCCTTACGAGCAGATTGTAATGCAGAACGCAAGTCATCTGAATCACTCGTGGTACCAGAGTGTCGTCGTCGACGAGGAACAGTAGGAGTAGGGGATGATAGCTGGGCCATTTTGGTAGGGAAGAAAGTAAATGGACGTGGTAAGAACTTAAAAATGAATGTACGCCTTTTTACACAAAACTCCATGTAGAAATTCTTACCAAAACTTTGTTTCTTACTGCTTTCCTGATTTCCGTTCACAAGCTATTTTTCAATTCATTGTCTACGTTTTGCTTGATTAGAATCGTCGGAAGTACGCATTTCCATCTCTTAGATAAGATATGCGGGAAAAGACATCCTTCAACGCCACTACAACTCATTCAACTGGGCCGGTCATCGCTCTGACTTGGTTAGCGCTACTCTTTTAGTTTCCATTCCACCTATCCTGGTCCATATGCATCTCACGAATGTTGTTATCAGTGAAATTTTGCCCCGTGCTATCTCCAAAGAAGTTCTTCTCCTAGCAATCCTCTGAGAACATTCCTGCAGTATCACGATGTTAGTCCAACCACAACCAGAGCTTTTCATTGGCAGTTTGCTAAGCTGATTTCGGGGGCCTGAGATGAGTGAACAGTCCTGGAACAGTCATAATTTCCCTTTTATTTCGAACTCAATTTTCGTCAATTTCATTTTTAAATGCACAAATAACACGCTTCTATCCGCCTGCCTAGCTCAATCGGATAGAGCGTTAGACTTTTACAAGCGGGTTGATCTGAAGGCTGCAGTTCGACCCTCGCGGTGGGCTAACAAGATTTTTGACGCCGCTGGGGACTCGGAGCTGCTTGTAAGTAACTAGGCTTCACTGTCTCATCCGGCCATTTTTTGTGTGGATTTCGGACGGATTGAAAAGGACAGTGGTTCTGTAAAGTAAGAGGATTCAAGGCACTGGCACGGTTCCCACTTAAGTAGTAGGACTAAATCACAGCTCAGATCAACCCGCCCTTTATCTTTTCTTCCTCTCCCGACTTGCGCGCTCCACGGAGCAATCTTTTTCCTGACGCTGCTGTCGCATACATAGGCACTCCCTTGCAAGAATGAATTCAACATGACAACGACGTAGTTATTGTACGAACACAATAATTCTCCACGCAATGGAAATGCATGCCCAATCAGGTCATTTTGGAAAATCCGTTCTCAAAAGTCTTCCCGGTCCGAAGTTTCGACCCTGTTGTCGACAGTTGTCGACCCGGTCCAACATTTGAATGAAGACTCACGCAAGCCCGAGAAAAACATGAAAATAGTTTCGGCTTTCATGTTACATACATATATTAATATGTCACTATATTGGACCTCTCCGTGCCCTTGTCTTCCACTAGTGAGTAATAACTCCTTTGAGTTTGTATACAATAATTGACACCTTTTTAACCACAAACCTCTCGACGCGTCGCTCTTTTCTTAGGTTTGTCAACATCTTGCACTTGTGCGCTATTCTCTCTCTCTCTCTCTTTCAAGCTACAATGAGCGACCTCAAGCTCTCGGTTGGTGCTTTAGTGAGCATGATAATTATGTAGTGCTAGGAATAAATATACTCAACAATTTCATGCAGCTTGTAAGCGGATGGATGTCATTCATGAGCTTTGGTTTGGTTCTTGCTTTTGGTGAGTGTCCGCTTGGACGATTACTGGCGATGTCTAACATTGGTTTCAGGATGGCAATACTTCTTGCAATTCTACAATGACCGGGTGCTCTATAAAACAATTGTAACGACCTGTCTACTCTTATGTCTCGGAGACACAATTGTTTCCGGTATGTGCATGCAGATCCTGACCGTTGACTGTTCGAGCCCCAATTTCATCCCCGATATCCAGGACTATGGTGTTATCGGTGGTCGTCGACATATTTTGGTGGTATGGCACTGTTATTCCACAACTCCTTCCGTTGTCTGATGCTCTTATTTTTTTGGAGACGACTCGGCTTTGCTCGCGACTCCGCAGTGAGCATTTTCCTTGTTCAAAAATATTTACAAACACTCACCCCGATCTTGCAGAGAGGCCATAGCTACATTGTGGTTTTTGTGAGCTTGAGGTCTGGGCTACGGTTCTGTCCTGATTCTTATCTTCTATAGCCCTACGGCGACGTTCCTTGTACAAATCTGGTTCGCGAGCCGGATATGGATGATTTCGATGAGGAAAAACGTGTTGCTTCCAGCGCTGATAGCACTACTAGCTTCCGCATCCTGGGGTAAAATTCGTACTATCATTTATGTGAGAGTTTGTTTACCAGCTCACATCTAGCGATCGCCTTATGGATGTTTTCCAAACTCATCAAACATCATTCGACGTTAGTCGATGACTCGAAACTCGTATTGTACGTACCTTCCGTAATTAAGTTTTTCCGAATCCTCGAGGACTTATTGATTCTTGTCAGCCCTGTTGGCTATGCATGGCTTGGAGGTGACATGTAAGATCTTATTCGCTCATTGTAAAACACCGAAGTTGCATTCACGCATATACCAGCGTTGCGGATATGTGCATTTTTGGTGGTCTCGCTTACTATACCGAAATTCGTTCCCGGAAGCAACGAAAGCATCATATCCTCTCACCAAAGTAAAAAAAAAAAATGATCTTGCCCTATATGGTTACTCAACTGCCTGTGTTTTACAGGAGCCTATGGGCTGTTACCTGCCGGATGATTGAATGCAATGTTCTACCACTCCTTTGTCAAATTGTTCTTGTCGTCCTCTTCAAAACGAATGTCGGATCCTACTATAGCACGTAAACATCCTTCATTTTAGATCGAGAAACTAATTCTTGCTACGTTGCCACAGTACTTTCTGATATGACTATTGCCAAAGTATGTGTATTCGTGCCCATTTATACACGATCCAACCCTAAATTATACATTACGTGCAGGTCTATACTTTTTCATTGCTTGTATCTCGTGCGTGGAAAAAAAATCGCCCTCTCTTTCCGCTCGACTCTAAAAACGGTTCGCAGTGAACGCACGGACGCCTATTGTAGAAGCTATATCCCATGCTGCTGTCACAGGCCAACAAAGGTCGGATCCTATCACATTCACTCGATCGACCATTAATGCTACGGCAGTGCAAGTACGGTGGGTTCTTGATATTCTATATATGATCGACTGAGATTACTGACGATGATGTCTGCAGACAAGACGTACATGTTGTACATGATGATAGTGACGCTAGCCCGATCTCGCCGTACGATAAGATAGAGATGGAGAACGAGTCGGAGTATGAGGTTGGAAAAGGTACTCTTGTGGATGAATATCACGATGGCATTCATCGTCATGTCGGTTCAGTGTAAATATTTTTGCCTCCACAGATGTCAGCGGATGTTGTAGCACAAATAGATACCCAGGACGAGATATTTGATGTTGTTGGAAATGGATCGAGCCGTCATTGAGTGTTCTGTTGAAGTGGATAAGTTCCTGCTACACCTTCAAAAAAAAGAAGTAGACGAAGGCAAAAATTAAAAACAATTCCTTCTAGCCGACTTGAACGACTGACCTCGTCATGTACAACAATACTAGTGACGCGCTCTACCAACTGAGCTAAGAAGGAATGAAAATCTAGAATAATTAACATTATAAGATCTGATGTGGAATCGGTGACAAAGAATTTGGGCGGCGAGCGCCTATCTATCACATTTACTGGTACTATCCTCTTCTGCAACTCTTCTGTGTGTTAAATGGGCGGCCGTTCTGTCCTTCTCACTTCGAACCTACCCCAACTACAAAATCTGATCAAAAGGGATCCTACCTCCTATAAGGATGAATTTCTTCAGCAATGGAACCATTACAACAGCATACGGCTGATTTTCCATTTGAATCCGGACGAACATGCTCAACACTTCAGAGAACTGGTTGCGTTCATCGCCCAGGTCGCCACTTGTTACCCAAAAGAAACCGCAGAGCTTCCTTCGCAAATCTCTACCATCCTGCTGGAAAGCTATGGCATGCTTTCGCCTGATACACGGAAAGCATTGATTTCCACCATGGTACTGTTGAGGAACAAAAATGTCATAACGCCCATCGAGTAAGCCCAGACTTGGTATTCTTTACTGAATCTAATCTAATCTGTAATTCAAGACTCCTTCGAACGCTTTTTCCTCTCCTTCCTCGTACCACCTCATCTTCTCTACGGTCTAACATCCGCAAAACTATACTTTCCGATATTCGCACAGCCAACATCCGAGCAAAGAACCATAAACTGAACCGTGCAATTCAGGCTATGCTCTTCGGTATGGTCGAAAACGGTTTGGACGACGTTGCGAATTTCGGCAACAAAGGGAAGCAGAAGGAAGTCAATCATGGAATACACTTCGGTACATCAGATAAAACGGCAGGAAGGGGAGAGGATGCAATGTGGGCTGTGATCTTGACCAAAGAACTCTGGCGGAAGGGCATCTGGTGAGTGTCTTATCAAGTGCGTTCGACGGGAACATGACTTTAGCTCATCTGTGTTGGTGTAGGAATGATGTAAAGCCAGTCTCCATCGTTGCTATCGGGTGCTTGCATCCAGTCCTCAAAGTTCAGAGTGCATCAATCCACTTCTTTCTTGGAGATGATGACGAAAAGGAAGATAGCGACGATGAGGAGGAAGAGGTTCGTCGAAATTCTATTTGTTTGATTTAATCTGTATCCATATGCATTTGATTAGGAGGTCGATGTACGTGCGCTCCACCATCGTCGTGAAATCAACAAAAAGTCTCGTAGTGGCGACAAAAAACTACAGAAGAAGCTCAATGTCGCCAAAAAGAAAAAACATGGAAAAATCGACACCTCTCGGTCTCGGGCAAATTTTCCAGCTCTGCAATTGTTGAATGATCCTCAGACGTTTGCCGAAAAATTGTTCACTATTCTGGATCGTTACGACAAACGATTTACTCTCGACCACAAAATTTTAATCATGCAGATCCTTGCCCGTGTCATATCTGCGCATACGCTCTTCGTCATGCCTTTTTACTCTTACATTCAAAAATGGCTCGCTCCGAAACAACTGAGGGTGCCGTCGATACTAGTCGCACTAGCCCAATCTGTACATGCGCTTATACCACCGCAGACGTTGAAACCAGTTGTCCTCAAGCTTGCGAATGAATTCGTGCATCCAGGAGTTGGAAGTGAAGTCATAGCAGCTGGAATTAATGCGATCACGGAGATCTGTAGGCGGCAACCGTTGGTTATGGGACCTAGAGATGAAGACGAGGACGACGTGATGAGAAAGCAGAAGGAACATGGGCAGAAAAATATGGATACAAAGGACGGTGCTGAAAACCAGCTCAAAGCTCTGAAGCTCGAACATTTAGAGAAAGAAAAGGCGGAAATCCGTAAGCTGGGGATAGACGATGCTGATGGAAAGAGACCCAGTGACAAGGATGTCGATCTACGGCCTCTGTTGAATGATCTAATTGAGTATAGGAAGAGCAAAGACAAAACAGTCATCGCAGCCTCTCGAGGGTTGTTGCATCTTTATCGAGAGACTCACCCGGAGTTCTTGAAGAAACGAGAACGAGTTCGTATCACTTACTCTATGTGCGATAGATTTTCTGATCCCTCTGTTCACACAGGGCAAAGAAGCCAGTATCAATATGAAGATTGCTGTTGCTCGCAATCTCCCCTACGGCCATTCAGCTAATGCTGCTGTTGACATTGAGGGCCTTTCTGTACGTCCATGTTTAGTGATAGCTTCTTCTACATACTCACCGTCTTCACTTTGATGTAGCTTCTGGAGAGTCACTTCCAACAACTCCGTGAAGAAGAAAATGGACACGACGATGCAGATTCGGGAGAGGATAATAACGAAGCTGGTTGGGACGGTTGGGATATCGAGTCAGATTCTGACTCGGAATCCGATTCGGAGGATGGGTGGCAAGATGTGTCCAGTGACAATGATGGCGATATCGAACTCAGCGATAGCGAAAATGAAAACGGAGAACAAAAGGAGCAGAATAAAAACAAAGGAAAGGAGACAGAGCGGCAGGAGAGGCGTCGGGAGAAGAAGGAAAAGCGGGAGAAACAGAGAGTCAAGGAAGAAGCAGTCAAGAACGGGCGAGGAATCAACGAAAAGATAGACAATGACGAAGTGGATGAAAATGAGTATGGATTCAGCGGTGATGACGAGGACAGAATGGACATTGATACAGAGGAGAAGACGGAAACGAGAAAGTTTGAGCAAGATGCATCAACTCTCGCCACAACCAAGGTTTGTCTGCAATTCGTGACACCCGATTATGAAATTGAAATTATTTTCTCCTTCCTAGATTCTCACACCAGCCGACTTCAAATTGCTCTCTGACCTTCAGATTCAAGCAGCTCAAAAATCTGTTGATATAGGCGGTGGAAATCGCGCGAAACGAAAGCTCGCGGCGCTTGAAGCTGGACGCAAATCTCAAAACATTTCCGACGATCCATCAGCTTCCTTCATTTCCGAGAACGATATCCTTGGGCCGCGTAAAAAATCCAAGGCTGATTATGCTGAACGGATGGCTTCAATACAAAAAGGAAGGGAGGGTCGCGAGAAGTTTGGCTCCCGCAAAGGCAAAAAGACAAAGGATGCTCCCAGTAGCTCTACAAACAGGGAGAAAGCGAGAAATAAGCCGATCATGATGATACTGAGCAGTGGCTCTGTTCGGGGGAAGAAGAAGGCAAGTTTGAGAGAAAAGCAACAAAAACTGCGGGCACACATTGAGAAGGGGAAAAGAGCGAAAAAGTAGATAGAACAAACTCACGTACGCCCAGTTCAGGCTATCTTGCTCGTCCGTCAATGACATACCTCATAATGTAGCTTAGATTATAGCAAAGGTGTGCCTGCCTAGCTCAATCGGATAGAGCGTCAGACTTTTACGGCAGGGAATCTGAAGGCTGCGAGTTCGACCCTCGCGGTGGGCTATTAAATATTTTTAGCATCTTTTCGATGTCAATCGTTGAATTGATCCTCGTTTGTTGAATGTTGGTAATCGCGCCACAAACGTGAAAAATACATATCGGCATTAATATTTCTACAGTATACGCAACTAAAACCATTTGGCAGGTTGCAATCCAATCTTTTTCAGTATATCCTTCATGTTAGTAGTGACAAATGCACCCAAGGCAGTCGATCCTTGCAACCTGACTGGGACGCCGACCACTTCGTACCTAGAGGAGTGGGATGAATGAAAACCTCTTTCTTGAGGAAGAATTCTCACTGATAGCTAGGCTTTCCATCGATCACGACCTCCAAATTCAGTGTGGGTCGTTCAGGGTTTCTGGTATCAACCTCTATTGATGCCCACTTGTAATTTCCTTCAGGAATGTACTTGATCACTCGCTCTTTGGGGACCTCTTCAATAACAAATTCTATTTCTGGTTTTTCGGCGTTGTGCTCATTGGCCGATTCGGAGGAGGTAGGAGGAACTTGCACCGAAGATTTTGTAGATACTGGTGTTCCGTCTGATTGGACTACAGTTGCTTCATCAGAAGGGATAGGCAGACTCTCGGGAGCGGGAATAGGTGCATCCACGGAAGGCGCTTCTTTCACTACCTTTCTGGTGAAGGTCTCGGCGCTTTGCATGTTGAGTGTATGATAGATCGGAATGTAGAACATGCTCAACGGGCTGAAATTTTACACCAGTGTAAATATATATGACCAGGGAGGGTATCGACAATGAGACAGACCTTGTGGAAAATTCAGTGACCGCAAAACTTGATTGAGTTGGGGCAGCAAATTCGATAGCAGCAAACTCATGTCGGTCGCCAGTAATCACAAACACATTCGGGACACTGTACATAGCGTTCAAGATAGACTGCTTTTCGTTCACGAAACCGGCCCATGAATCGTATTGCGCGTCATGACCCCAAAGCGAGGTGAACGGGACAGAAGACACAATGAATTTAAATGTGGCGGTACTGTTCGTCTATGATAGAATGCGCCTCAGTACGGGTTGAAGCATGTTACAAAGTACACACTTTTCCTAGCCAATCAAGCAATCTGGTCAGTTGTTCTTCACCTAGCATTGTCTTCTCCTCTGAAGGGTCGTTTGGGAATGAGCGATATCTTCGAGTGTCCATCACAAAAAATGCCACATCGCCGTAGTGGAAGTCATAGTAGTATGGGGTATGATCGAGCGACTTGGTTGAGAGAGGGGGTGAGGGATTTCCGTTGGCGTTATAGATTTGGAAAGCATCTGAGGCGCTAGGATACGGCAGTGTCGAATCATTACCGGCGCCTGAGAAGTTGTTGATGATTTCATGATCGTCATAGGTATGGAACATCGCTAGGACAATACTTTTAAAATGCGTATCTATTCTAAACGATTGGGAACGTACGAAGTCTTTCGTATATTTTTCTGAAGCTCGAGCTCTGGTAGTTTCTTCGGTAAAGGCGCCGGTAGCTCTCTTTGTAGTTTCCGAAGTAGATAGGGACATCGGCGTAAATGAAATCGCCCAGGAAAAGTAAGAAAGATGGCGAAAGCGTCGTAGGTACATCCAGAGTCTCCTCCGAATTGGGAGTGCCGGTATCGTTACGGTCGGTAGTCGAATTCACGGCCCAAATAGCTGGTAACGAGGGGAACAGGTACTCTGCAA